TGTTCACTGAGACAGAAAACAGAATGGGGGTATCCAGGGGGCTGGAGGGACTAAGGGGAAAGGACTTACTGCTTCGTGGGACAGAGTTTCAACTTTTCAGGATGACAGTTCTGTGGATGGATGGCGGTACTGATACTGCAACCAAGTCAATCCACATAAGCCACTCAACTGTCCATTTAAAAATGATCAGCATGGTAAATTGTATGCTGTATGTTTATTACCACAACTAAAATGGAATATTTTTAATGAGTTAATGAACAGGGACATGAAAATTCAGCCTCCTGAGAGGGCCTACTTAATAACCCTGATTGTGTGAGCTCACTTCCCTTACTTAAAAAAGCATAAGTGAACTTTTCTGAAAATTGCGTTATTAAAATTCTTTGCTGTATAACCTTTGTTCTTTTCGTTTAATGATACATTGCCAACCATGATTGGCCTAATGCATTTTAATACCAGCTCCATTCACTAGGTGCACCAGCATTTATTCAGCAGTGGCTTCACCAATGGAAACTCAGATTGTGCTCAAGTTTTTCAGTGGATTCTTTTCCTGCCAGTTCAAATACCGTTATGATAAAATTGCTTCCATGTAGGAGAGCAATGCTAAAGCCAGGGTCTGGGTAGTGATGGGGAGAAGGCAGAGAACGTAAATGGATCCCAAAGATATTTCATTGTTGAACTAGATCAGGCTTAGTGACATTTTGGAATTGTTGGTGTAAGAGTGGAGGAAAGATGCCAGGCGTGGTGCTGTATGCCTTTAATCCCAGCCCTCAGGAAGCAGACAGGCGGATCTGAGATCGAGGTCAGCCTGGTCTACATACTATGTTCCAGGCAGGCTGGGACTAGGGAGACCCTGTCAAAACCCAAAACAAACAAAACAGCAAGGAGTGGAAGAACGGTACAGCTCGTGATTTACTGAGAGAGGGAGTGGAAGAGGAAGCAGAAGAGACCATCCGAAGCCTTTTCAGGAGGTGAAGGTATCACGGAGGACCTGAGAGGCTAGGGACTGCTGGAAGATGCTCATTTTGAGGTTGGCATGTTGTTTCTCCTCTGATCAATTTCAAATTGTGGTCTAAAGCTTTCAGGACACATGACACAGATGGAGATGATTGATTCAAGAATCCTTTGCTTCGAGTCCTAGTGGAAGTGAGTGAACGCCACCACTCTTAGGCCTCGTATTACATGGGGAAGGCAATAGAGACTAGGATGGGTGGGGGATAGGGGGGAGAGAGAGAAAGAGAGAGAGAGAAATTGAGAGCAAGAGAGAGGAGGAGGAAAGAAGAGGAGGAGGAGGAAGAAGAAATAAAAGAGGAAAGAGCTTGAACTTCTGTCACCAGCCCACTAGCCTTGCAAAATATCATGTTAAATATCATCTAGGTTAAGTATCTTATGGACTTTTTCTTCCAGTGCTTGTTGTGACCCTTTAAACAATGTTTTTCTTACTGTCTAAACCACGATAAATAATGTTGTTGTCTTTTGGTAAGCAAGCTTGGCTTTGAATTAAGGGAAAAGCCAAATCATATCACAACGGGGCACAGTTTGGCATCTCTCAAATGGATTGCAAAATCATTTTGTAAGGCTATGCTAGGTTCATAAAAACTACAGTTTAATTAAGGAGAGCATGTGTCAATTTCATAAAACCATGTGAACCAGACAAAGAAGCCCACACAGAGCTACCCTGAGGAAGCAGGAGGCAGAAAGAACTTTTAAAACATTTGGTGTTTGCTTTGAAACTGTCTCAGTGATCTGTGTTAGCATAAAGATTACCTTGCTGCCACCAGATCTTTTTATAAAGGACCTGTGTATTTTGATACCCAGCTCAGATAACTAGATGAGGGTCCAAATGCACTGTTTTGTCCTTTCTCAAGACTTTGAGAAATAAGAGGCTTAGAAGAACAAGTGATTCATCAGTAGCTCTGATGACTCCATGACTCTGAGGAATGAAATGGGTGGGAATCTGCCAAGTTTGAGGCAGGATTCAATTTAATTAAACTCTGTTCTCTGTATTATGTTAGATACTATGGTTGCAGGTTCCTGAAGAAAGAGTCCCAAAAAGTACAGTTAAAGACTTGCCCATAACATACCTTGTCATCTTGTAGGAAAATAAGATGCTTACCTGTAAAATTACTGAAAAAGGCTTCTAAAAGGTGTTCTGACAACCCCTGCCCAACCACCTCCTGCCCCATTGTTTCTGCTGAAGGAATTCATGATCAGAATGAGGCTATCCCATGGGTCCTGGCATGATCCTCTTGGAAAGGAAGAAGTAGTTGTGAGAGCCAGAGATGCAGAAAGAGATGCTGACAGGTTAGAGGGGGAGTGAGCTGTTTCCATGAGAATATGATCACAGCATTATTATAGGGTAGTCAGGTTCAAGCATGATTGTCTATGGCCATAATCCTAGGCTATTTCATTGTGAATTGCCAAGAAGGAAGTCAGAGCTGTGGAAAACTGGTCTAAACAAAGACCAGTGAGTCTACATGGAAAGTTTGTTTGTGGCTTCAGTGTCACCTTGAATCTCAAGAGTACTGGGCATGGGGGGGGTGGGTTACTTCTGTCAGAATCTTACTGTTCTTGGCACTACTTCATTAGACCAGGGTTTCCTAACCTTTTCCCATTCACAACCCCTTAACACTTGAGAAACTTTTTTTTACACAACTCCAGGTATGTAAAATAGGTATACAAATCAAACATTTACTTATCATAAATCATAAATCTATTTTAAAACAATTCATTGCTCTATGTACTACTTGGTATTTAGCATCTAAAACAAATTTACATACTAATGAGATGGATATACTTGTTTATTTTTATATTAAGAATTAAATTTTGGCTATTTGATGCTGTGGGACATAGAGCTTCTTCAATGTCTTCAGAGTTCACCAATATTTTGATTTTATACTAATTAATGCTGAGAACATCACTTTGCATAAATAAACAGTACAAATGGATATAGTATGTTTAGGGTCATTACAGAAATTGTTGGAAATTCTGTCTTAAGCCTAAGCCAAAATTTATCTAATGATTTTTTTTCAATGAAACTCAAGCCAGCAACTGAAACACAATTTTTAAAACCAAGCATTCTAACACAGTACAATGAAAAGACACACTAATTTGACACTTGCTGAAAAATTACATAATTAAATCCTTATGTTTCTATAAACCAGAAAACTTTGTATGAATTGCAGTGAAAAAAAACTGCAATTCAGATTCATAGTCTTGAATCTGAGCATAGGTGTTTCAGGCAGTGTTTATTCACGTTGTATGACATGGCATGGCAGTTCAAAGTACATGTGTTGTGTGTTCAGAATCAAGGCTGAGAGGAGGCTCAGCAGTTAAGAGCGCTTACTGCTCTTGCAGGGAGCTGGGGCTCAGTTCCCAGCACTCACATGAAGCTGCTTACAACCATCTGTTCCAGTGGCTCCAATGCCCTCCGGCCTTCTCAGGCACCTACACACATGGTAGACATCAACTCACACAGGCACACCTACATACACATAAATTTTTAAATTTATTTAAATAAATAAATCTTGGTGCTGGCCAGACAGCTCAACAACTGAGAGCACTGACAGTTGTTGCAAAAGACCGGAGTTCAAATCCTAGTACCCACATGGTGGCTGACAGCTGTCTGTAACTCCAGTTCCAGGGGGTCCTCTCTGTCCTCTTTTGGCACTGCACTTACATACATGGAGACATAACACTCCATAAAATAAAAATTAATATTGTTAAAAAAGGGATTAAGGCAGCAGTGAGGTTGTATGATTCACCATGAGTGATTACCAACAGAAATACCTTGGATTTACTGCACATTTGATTTTGAATTAATTTTTGGTCTTTATGTGTACAGGAACCTTTTACAATTTTCATTTTTTTTGTAAGCCCACATTCAGTTATGTGATCCCACACAGTTTAAGAAGCTAGGCTTTAGACTATTAATGAGTCATGGGGATTAATTAGAGGAACCCTGTGTTCTTGTAGGTTCTTAGGAGTGCAATTTGGTGACTGAATTCACCTTTTCCTACCCTACTAGAGGGCCTGCTCCAGCCCTTTGGAGGAAGAATCCAGAAGAATTCTGGGTGCTTTGTCTAAGACCCTTGCTTGTGCAGAAGTGCCTAACCTTACAAGACAGGGACTAAGGTTGGAGATGCCCAGCTATAACTGTTCCTTCCCCATCATCTGGCAGTAGATAATCTTTGCTATCAGGGGATTGCTCTAGGCTTTATTTGTGGACAAGTTGTTGTTACCAGCTTGGGTCCTGTCTGAACATGCAGACCAGGCCCAAGTCCCTGGCATCCCGCTTTTTGGCACCATCTCTGTAATCTGCAGCTGTAGGGTTTTGCAAAGGATGCCAAAATCCAGACCCAACAAAGCATCCCTTTGCATGTCCTGACGTCACAAACAACTTTATCTTGGATATGTCTCCTTTCCTCTCTGACCTGCCCATTTCCATTCCCCTGTACATTATACACATAATTGGAATATTCTATTTGCTGCACAAAGAGAAAATTCAAGATCTGATTGCCTCATGGCTATGAGAAAGTATTTCCGAAGCGTGAAAAAATAGTTACTGGAAACTTTGGCTACAGATTTTGCTATGGGGGAATTTATTACTTAATCCAGTAACAATCGACTCAAATCAATTAGTTGTGGGGGCAAGCAGTGGGTACTTTTCTTAATACCTCTGCCAGGGACACCTTTGTTAGCATCTGAGGTAGTCTGAATCCAGTGTATCTGTCCATCTAAAACTGTTGGATCGCCTCTGAAGTTCAGGCATACCACCAAGGCCATTGAGACCCAGCCAGTGGATTTTACTTGTATGAGATATTACATAGCTCCCAGGGGAGGGACACAGAAGAGGAAACAGAGCCCGATAATAAATAGCTCTTTGTACCAGTCCCCTCCCCTTTCCCCCAAGTCACTGAGATCTTAGAGAGAAACCAGCATTCAGCAGATGCTGCCCAGAGATTTGGCAGATGATGACCAGTCGTGAACTTGTCTTTCCTCAGTGTGTGGCTGCGACCTGGCCCAAGGTGGCTTCTTCATAAAGAACGGGGAGTATCTCTGCACCCTGGACTATCAGCGGATGTACGGGACACGCTGCCATGGCTGTGGGGAGTTTGTGGAGGGCGAGGTGGTAACTGCCCTGGGCAAGACCTACCATCCCAACTGCTTTGCTTGTACAATCTGCAAGTAAGTGACCATCTTTCTCAAGGCTCTGTCTTCTTCCAGTAGAGGAATGCTGGCTTCAGACTTTAAAACTTGTGACAGCCTCCTTTGGTCTTGAACAGTACTTAATCTTAAAATAGCCCTATTATGATATGTCTTCTTATTGTCTAGTCATTCTTCATTAAAATGAAGTTTAGTTGGGAAACTCTGTGTGCATCCCCTATAGAGTAATGTGACTGATTTTAAGTGACTTGATACCAACTGCGAAGGAACCGCTAGATCTCGAGGGGATTTGAGTAAAGAAAACATGGTGGAGAAATGGACAAATGCGTAGATGGATGAACCTTATTTGGAAATTCAGGCTATGTGGGTATACTTAAAACAGTCTCCTCTAGCTGGGCTCAGAGATGTGTATCCACAGTCCCAGCACTCAGGAGGCTGACGTGGGAGGATTGCTTGAGCCCAGGCATTCAGTACAGCCTACCTTAAAAGGACCCCCTATTTCAAAAGATGAAATTGTATCTTTACTATACTTTCCAGGACTTGGAAAACTGACTCATGGGACAAATTAGGTCCAATGTTTGTTTAATTTAAATAAAGCTTTGTTTGCCATTTCTTTGAATAGGGACTAGGGCTGTTGTCAGTCACAGTTGCATTGAGGAATTGTCACAGAGACTAAATGCTCTATGAAACCTAAAAAGACATTAACAATTTGATGTTTTAGGGGGAAAATTCACCAACACCTTATTGCAGAGGCATCTGTATAATATAGTTTAATTAAAATGGTCCCTCTGCGAGAAGAAAACTTTGACGGGGAGAGGGGATGTGCTGTTGTGTTCTGGGAACTACACATTATAAAAGGAAGATGGATTTGATTTTCTAACTGAGCACTGGACTTTGGCTGGTACCATAGGGGATCTGTGTAGGTCTAAAATTAAGCACGGACTGGTAATAGGGCAAGATCAGCCAGGCACCTAGGACACAGCACATGAAAGGATAGTCATGGTCAGGGGCTCACAATTGCTGGGTCAGCCATGGAGAGTAAGCTCTTGTACTTGTCCCAGAAATCTTGCTTACCTCTCCTGGGTCTTGTCCCTGAGCAGAGACCAAAGAACCTGTGCTTGTTGTATTGTATGGATGGGCCCTCAACTCTGATACCCTCCTTACAGAATGGGCTGGAGGCTTATCCAGCTTAGTTAGTGGGTGCAAAGTGGGGGGCCCACCGATAGCCCACCGGGGTATGATTTTGATTATTAAGAAGAGCAAGTTCTAAGTTGGGTAGAGGTGCCTTTGCCTGCCTGTGACCTCCCCTCCCTTACTGGTCACTTCAGTTAAGCCACATACCCTCTTTGGGGCTTATCTGTCTGATGGAGAGAACAGGACCACCTCTCCTTAGGCCTGTCTATATTTGAGGGTATAAGACTCTAATACCCTCCTACACTTGATGACTGGCACCAATCATATTGTCAGTGCTAAATAGGCCTGTCTATATTTGAGGGTATAAGACTCTAATACCCTCCTACACTTGACCAATCATATTGTCAGTGCTAAGTCTGCTGTATCTGTGTATGTTTATTATGGCTAGTTACCAGTTTATTAGGTTTGACCATGGAAGGATGACTTAAAGGGGAGGTCGTGCCTGTGAAAGTACCAGCACATGTCAAGAAGCTTAACTTGCTCTGAAGTCATGGCTTCCAACTCAGATTCATGTTGTCAGGTCTGGAGAGTTCCTTATTTCCTAACTGATGGAATTGCACATTCAAAAATTCACATTGATGAAGATGGTTGGAAAATTGGCCTGTTACAAATAAGCAGGTGTGAAAACCATCTGTCATGTGCTTGTTATCTAGTGATTGCTGCTGTTAAAGGCTGTCTCCTAGTGACCTGAGAGAAAAAGTGAGTAACATTCCTGCAAAAGGTGGCATTTTTAGGCAGTGTGGTATTAGTGATGAGCATCTAGCAGGAAGGGAAATTATCTTTCTGAAAAAGAAGCTGCTACTGATTCTTAAACAGATATGTACAACAGCTTGTCCTATTGATTTAGCTTATGAGGGACTGGGTTCCCCAGCAGTGTGCAGATTCAAATGTCCAGAAAAGGACAAAGTCTCACAGCACAGTTACCACAGAGCACAGGACTGAAAGAGCTTATGCTTTGACTCTATAAGCAGTTCACTTGGGGAGGTGCCCTGAACTTCAGTTGGAATTTATGGCATTTAAAATTTTTTTTATGAAGGCTTTCCTGCTGCTCTGAAACTTACTGCTCTGTGCACCTTGTGAGGTGACTTGTTGGGACATCCCTCCACTGGTGAGTGGAGCTAATTCTTGCCACTTTGGGACCAGAGAGCCCATGGAACTGATACAGTTTCTTCTTGTCTCATAATGAAACACGTGTTAGTTTGGATCATGTCCAGCTGGCAGGTTAGGGCATGGCTGTATTTAAGATATTCTGCCTGGTGTTCCTCCAAGAAATAAGTAGCAGGCAGAAGTGAGGAAAAGGAGTGAAAGTGCTGGAATAATCTTGAGGGCATTGTCTTTCTGTCTCTCAGGCGCCCGTTTCCACCCGGAGACCGAGTCACCTTCAACGGGAGAGACTGTCTTTGTCAGCTCTGTGCACAGCCGATGTCTTCCAGTCCTAAAGAAGACTCCTGCTCCAGCAGTAAGTGTCCTGGCAATCAATGACACCTTTGTAACTCAAAGGTAGCTCAGGCAGGTGCCTTCCTCTTGGGAAAACCCTAGTAGGTAAAGCCGAGTCTAGTCCTATGTAGGGCAGTTTTTCATTGAAAAACATGCTGCTTCACACAATGTTCACTAAAACCTAGGCACCAAGAAGCATCTTCATTATGTCAAAAAGACACAAATTGAACTAGACATTGAACTATCTATTTTGACAGCCAGTAAAGGAAAAATGATTGCGAGACTTTACATTGAAATGCCTTGCCTGTGACCAAATACCTGACCAAAAGAAACAAGAGAGGAAGGGTTCGCTTTGGCTCACAGTTCAGAGGACTGCAGTCCATCATGGCAGAGAGGCATGGCCACCCTGGAGTGGCTTGGTTCTTGGTGCTGACCCAGAAACAGAGATAAGGAATGCCAGTGCTAAGTTCCCTTTCTCCCTTTTCCCTTTTAATAACATTTTGGTTTACTTATTATTATTGTATGAGCATGGGCATATGCATGTTATGGTGCAGTGTGGAGATCAGAGGACAACTTTTAAGAGTTGATTCTCTCCTTCCACTGTAGGATCTGATGATCAACCTCAGGTCCTTGGGCTTATGCAGCAAAGTCTTTTACCTGCCGAGCCATCTGGCAGGCCCTCCTTTCCCCTTTTTATTCAGTCTGGGACCCCTGCCCCAGCCCATGGGATGTTGCCACCCACATCCAGAGTGGGTCTTCCCTTCTCAGTTAGATCTTTCTGGAATTACTCTCAAAGGCACATCCAGAGGAGCATTTCCTAGGTGATTCCAAATCCAGTCAAGCTGACAGTGAATGCTAACCATCAAAGCCATCTCTAGTCACAGAGATTGAACCAGGAGAACTTTAAGGAGGGTGTGACTGGTCCTCTCTGTTAAAATTACCATTTCCCCCCACAGAAGGTACAAATGAGATGGTTTCTACTTATCCCCAAATAATTCTCTATTGTTCTGGAAAGGCTCTGACATTTATTCCTTTGGTATTTACTGAGTACCCAAATTTTATACTGTCCTTCAAACTGGATATGTACCCTTGAGAAAAAAAAAAGCAAACTTTCACATCCTCCCCAAGAGTGTATAGACAAATGCTCACAGAAAATATCTAGAATGTAAAGAAAATGAAAATAGAGAGGAAAGGTAATTCTTTATATGGTACAATCATAGAGGGCCTCTGTCAGAAGGTGACACCCAAGGAGAGATGTGAAGAAAGTGTGGGAAGACATGGTGTGTGTGTGGGTGTGTGTGTAAAATTGGGGAATTTGAAATACATATACATATACACATATACACATACACACACATGCGCACATAAATAATCAGAGGCTTTGAAATTCTTTATGATGAGGTTTCATCTGACCTATGGGAATCCAGAGAGAGCCCCCTGCACCTGATAGTGGTCAGTTATACACTTTCTTTTAATAAATACATTGGTAATAGCATTCAGCAAAACAGTTAATAACTATTACACGTCAATGTATTCTGAGCCCAGAGGACTGAGCAGGAGGCTCTGTTTTATCCCTTTCCTGGATCATCAGGAGATGGGCCCAGCGCTTGCCTTGGTGTCTGTGGATTTGGACAACCCTAGGGAGACCTGGACTAATAAATCCCCTTTAAGCTCAGTGAGTCTTAATACTTAGGATGAAATAAACCACTTCTGTTCTAGAGGAATTCTACACAATCTATAACAATGAGTTCAATTTTTCCCGTTACTCTGGGAAAGTCTTTCACTTGTTACAAATAAGAATATTCTGACCAAAGCATTTGCATGGAAATTGGATTTTGGCCATTGGAAGGAAAGAAGAAAATACACATTAGTGCCTGGTATTCAGCCAGCATGAGCAGGCTCAGAACAGAAGGGGTTTATATGAGCTACCACTAGGGGGCGGAGGCCTGGGTGGATTCCATTGGAAGCCAAGGCAAGATCCCAGAACCTAATGTAGGTGACTTTAGGTCCTTCTCCACACTTACTACCCTGACTCAATTATAAGAGAAACAGCCCCATGTTGTTGGGAAAGTGACTTGGGGTAGGAAAGGTTACCCCATCTTCTGGCATTACCAAACCTTTAGAGGAATTCTTCTGTCTGCCTAAGAAGAGGGTTTTCTGATAACAGGTGGAACAGCACCTCTTGCCCCTAAAGCCTGTGATCAACTGTCTGTTGTGATAGGTGGGAAACTAAGCCTCAAGGACATACTCAAGGTCTCTCAAGTTCACTGCTGATAAGGTGGGCTCACACACCACCAGTATTTTGACCCCTGGATTTTTGTTTTCTATCTTATTTCAGCTCATTCTCTTGATTTATTTAGTTAAGGAAACAGAAGCAGATTCTTTTAAAAGTCTTGCAATTTGGAAACATGTTCCTTAGTCATAACTCTATCAAAATAAGGATTCTTTTTCTTTCCTTCCTTCCCTTCTTTTCTCTTTTTTTTTTTTCTGATACAGGCAGGCACTCATGTAGCTCAGACTGGCCTTGTAGCCAAGGATGATCTTGAACTCCTGATCCCCATCTTCCAAGTACTGGGAATACACATGTGCTACCACATCTGGCAGATTCTTTTTTAAAAATTTTTATTTTTATTATTTTTATTTTTGAGTGTATTGCCTGAGTGAATGTAAGTGCACCCGGGGTTGTGCAATGCCTGCAGAGGTCAGAATAGGGTGTCAGAGCACCTGGAACTGGAGTTAGGGATGGTTGTTAGCTGCCATTGTGGGTGCTGGGAATCAAACTTGAGCCCTCTGCAAAGGCAGTCAGTGCTTTTAACCACTGAGGCATCTCTCAAACCCCAGCAGATTCTTTTTAAAATATATATTTTATTAATTCTTTGGGAATTTCATACATGCATGCAATGTATATTGATCATATTCATCCCCACTACCCCCCCTAACTCCTTCCAGATCTACCCCACCCACCTTCTAATTTCATGTCCTCTTTAAAAAAGTCCACCAAGTCCAACTTGTATTGCTCATATACTCATGAGTGTGGGCCAAGCACTGGAGCATGGTTCATCTACCAGAGCATAAGCCCTTAAAGAAAACTGACTATCCCTCCCCTAGAAGCCATCAACTGCCAATAGCTTCTGAGCTAAGGGTGGGGACTCATAAGCCCCTGCCCCCTCCATGCTGGAATGTTAACTAGTTTGATCTTATGCAGGTAACCACAGCTGCTGTGAATTCATGAGTATCTTTCTGTCCTGTTCAGAAGACACTAGTTCATTCTGATCCCCTCTGACCTTTGGCTCTTACAGTCTTTCTGCCCTGGAGCCCTGTTGGGAGGGAGTGTGATATAGATGTCCCATTGATGGCTGAGCACTCCACAGACACCTATTCTCTGCACTTTAACCAGTTGTGACTTTCTACTCTAACAACTGTCCGCTGCACAAGGAAACTTCTCTGATGAGATCTGAGAATTGCACTGATCTATGGGTATAGAGAGAAAAAATTTAGAGGGCAGTTTGATATGATGTCCATTTAGCAAAATAATAGTAGTAGGTTCAGCCCTGGGGCCTATAATCTCTCCATTCTTGGATTCTTGGTCATATTTACAGGACCAGGCATATGTTTTCTCCTGTGGAGTGGATCTTAAATCCAAGCAGAGAGTGGTTGTTTACCTCCATAACATCTGTGCCATTATTGTACCCATGGGCATATCTTATCACACTGGTTGTTATTACAGCTCACATGGTTTACAGCTGGGTAAGACTGTAGCTAACTTTTCTTCCCCAGAAGCATAGTCCTTCTGGTACTATAAAAGCTAGTCACATCTGGAAGATGCTAGTTTTTTTCTATCATACATACATATAAGAAAATGTCATTATGAAACTCATTATTTTGTATAATTAATATATGCAGATAAAAATTTTTGGCTAGATCTATGTTTTCTCTTTTAAAATGACATCCATGTTATACCCACAAAAACTAAGTACAAAAATGTAGTCAACTCAAAAGCACTGTATTTTAATACTAGCTTTAACCATTACTGCTTATACACAGATTGTTGGACCAAATTGTATTTTCTCCCCTGCTTCCAATGGATGAAATCCCATTTTGATGCAATTGCTTTGGTTAAAACATTTTTATTTTTAAGAAGTGCTTATCTATTTATACAAGTACCAAAAGGTATTTATAGGTCGTGTGGGTGTCTATGAAAGAGCTTTTATACACGGATATACATAGGCAAAGCACGCAAACCAAGCAGGCACACACACACTAGAGTAACGGGAGTCTTCAGCAAGTCTCTGAGCTCACTGGAGCATAATTAGAAAAACTTTGGTTGTTATTTGCAGTTCTCTAAGAATAGTATTAGACTTGAAAATGACTCTGCTATGTCTTTGATTCCTAGTCTTTAAAAACAAATGACTTTAAACTTGGCAAAAGGCTTCCTAAGTAGAAGCAGAGCATGATCTTCTTTAAGTGTGAAACTTCTTGAGAGTGTTCTGCCTCTATGAAATTTACTAGGGAGCAGAGGTCCTCTTTCACCCTCTAAAATATTCAATCCAGCTGGGCCTGGTGGCACATGTCTTTACTCCTAACACTCAGGATGCAGAGGCAGGTGGATCTCTGTGAGATCAAGGCCAGCCTAGTCTGCATAGCAAGTTCCAGGCCAGCTGAGGCTACTGGGAGACCCTATTTCATAAAAGATCAAAGATAAAAATAAAAAAATAAAACAGTCTATCCAAAAACAAGACTGATTTTCTGAACCACAGTTACGTTTCACATTCTATGGAAGATTTTTCATCGTCGCTAAATAGGAAGCAAAGACCACAGAGGGGGAAGGTGGCAAGCAGAAAAGTCAGGGAGGACTGAGTTATCCAAGCTCCTCTCCTGTGGAGCTTACTGAATAGAAAGGCTGTGCTCCTACTTCAGCTTTGTGCCTGTCCTGTCTGTGTGACTCTGGTGCAGGAAGGCCTCCCATTGAAGACTGAACCTGTCCTCGTGATTCTCTGTGTGTGTGTGTGTGTGTGTGTGTGT